CCTGCTAGCTCAGAAGGATATGAGGATTGAGTCAAAAATTAAGTTTTTGAAAATAAAGTGGTATTGCTTGCATGTCTGAAATTTGTGGACTGACATTCATATTGTCTACACATACTTGTATTCTCATTTGATTCTCTTACAATCCTATTTTCTTCATTTTATAGATGAGGAAAAAAATTTTTAAGATTACTTGTCCTAAGGTCACAAAACTAGTAAGCAGCAAAACTAGAACTCAAATTTGGGTCTATGTTGCACAGAAACCCATGCTATCTACTACTCTATGAGACCTGGAATAGGTTTTGCCTTCTCTCCACCACCTGCATCCAATTCTTACTCCCAAATCTTGCTAAATTAGGGAGCATCCCCTCCTCTAGAAAGCCACTATTGAGGTCCCCCCCATCAAGTTTAGGTGGCCCTCTTTAGGCCACCCTTAACACGCTGACCCCGTCTGAATCACAGACCATATGTATTTTAATGATTAATGTACCTGTTTTCCTCCACTAGACAGTGAACTTTTTTTTTTTTTTTTTGACATCTGGCGATAAGGGGATCTGAATCCTTGACCTTGGCGTTAAACATTGTGCTTTAACCAATTGAGCTAACCAGCCAGCCCCTGACAGTGAAATCTTAAGGGCAGGAATTAAGTATATCTAGAGCCTGACACACAGTAGGTGCTTTAGTTCTACAACAGAAGAATATCATTTATATTTGATTGTTTACCCCACCAAACTCTGAATTTCATAAGGTCAAACAAACATCTGGTTTTATGCACCATTAAATCACTGGAGTCTAACACAGTGCCTGGCACAGATCAGGTTTTCAATAAATATTTCCGAGTGAACAAATAAATAATTCAGTAAGTAATCTCTATTTACTGTGACTCTGAGACACATTCCAAGAATAAGCAGTTTCTTGACCTTCTTTTCTTCGTAATAATTTAGTATTTGAAATTACTTCCACTCTAATATTTTTATATTGGTCATTAATTTTCCCATCTTCATCCTCATACTCACTTGGAACATGATCTCCACTATTTGAAACTGTGAGAAGATTTTGATTCAGCCTTGGATTTATCCTATTACTAACTGATAGCAATTATTTTCAACCTCTCTTAGCTAAATGCCAGAATGTCGCGGATCAGAGGGTGGCACTTAGGGGTGAAATGAACAGTTTGCCTCCAATTTACAAGCTTGCTTTTCCCTTGGATAATTGTATCAAAATCACACTTTCCTGGGTGTGACCGTTGGCAAAACCTCCTTGACGGTGGATTGATTACATTGACTCTAACTAATTAATTTACAGATGTGAGATAGTGGAAGGGTTAAAATAGCATTTGCTAGGCAAGGCTGAGATCTTTTTTTAAATACATGATATATGCTCTCATTCAAGAAACAGGAAAACATTTCCGAATTACCTTCCAAGCGGTTTGCCTGGACTGACAGTCCCACGAACAAAGGAGGAAACCAAACCCTCCTTCGGACAGGCATTTGCAGTGAAAGCTCGCACCCCTGTGGGAGGGGCCCCGGGAGCCTCCCGTGACCCAAAGGCGGAGGGGGCGTGGCCAAGGGCGGGTTCAGGCCTCCAGGGGCGGGGCTGCAGCAGGCGAGAGGCAGTGTGGGAAGCGGCGCCATATTGGCGTCGGCCGTGCTGTATTGTCATAAATAGAGCCGGTTCTGTGGGGTTTTTGCTACTCGGTTGAATGCCTCGGCCGTAGTAACTCAGAAAGTGAGAGAGTAAGCGAGCTACAAGCGACCGGAGGAAAGTGGACGGGGAAGAAGGGAACAGCAGGAACAGGACTCCAGAGCGAAAGACACTCGCTGGAGAGGGAGACGCAGGAAGCGATGAAAGAGATGTCTGCGTAAGTGGTAGGGGGCGGCGGCTGGGGGCGAGGCGGAGACGGGTGAGTAGAGTGGTCAGTCCTGGGCCCCGTGTAGGTTCTCGGCCCCTCGCGTCCTGTCTGCAGGTCGTTCGGGTGGTCTCCTTCCCGGCTCCCGGCCGGGAAGCCAGGGCACCTCCCCTTCACCCGGCGGCTCACCTGGTCATCCCTTCACGGACTCGGAGACTCCGGGAGTCCCCGTCTGCCCCCAGCTGTCCCACCTCCGAGGACGACCGTAGACAAGGATGCGGAGGGAGAGAGGCACTTGTGTCGGTGACGAGAAATTGCCGGTCACTCTCCTTCCCCCAGCACTGTCTGAGCCCATCTGCTTCTGTCTGCATTGGCGCAAATACCATCCCCCTTCTCCCTTCCCGACCGGCTGTCTCCGGGTCTTCAGGAGTGGATGACCTATCCCAGCCCATGGGTTTCTCTTTAAATAAAAAAGCTGTTTTTTCCGCCGCCGCCCCACCCCGGCCTCTCCACCTACACGCAGTATCTACTGGTCTGTACCTCCTGTACACACTTGATAAGTCAGAAACAATTTCCGTGCTTGGTAAGATTTTGTTGTAGCATCTTACGTTTTGTTTTATTAGGAAATAATTTAAACATACAGAATAATGCAGGGAGTAACAGAAGCATCATTTGTGTAGCCACCACACATTTCTTTCTAAGCATAACATTCTGTGTATATATGTCTTTACTTAAAAGCGTTCCAAATACATCTGAAGGACTTTCCTCCCTCCTTCTCTGGTCCCATTCATCTCCCTTCCCAGAATTCCCCACAATCCAGAATTTTTATTTATCGTTGCTGCATTTCTTTAAATGCTATTACTACATATACATGTGTCCATAATAATTGGCATTGTTTTACTTGTTTTTAAACTTTATATGACTAGTGTTACACTTATTCTGCGGCTTGCTTCTTTAGAGAAACATTTGATCTTTGAGTTTTGTCTGTATTCGTATTTTCAGTTCTAGTTAGTTCATATTAACTACTATATTGTATTTTATTGTAGGGGTATACCCTACTTTAGACATTTTCTTGTTAGTGACTGTTTTAGGTTGTTTCTAAGTTTTTAATGTTGTTACAGTGTGACAGTGAACATTCTTTTACATGTCTCTTTGTACACTTTTACTACAATTTCTCTGGGGTGTTTGCCTGTAAATGAAATTGATGGGTTGAAAGGAAGGACTGTGGGATTCTGTTGTTTACTTTTTTTCTCTCCTGTCTAGATGGGAAGGTTCAGAACCAGAGATTTGGAATTTTAGGGCCAATAGGGACCTAGATAGCCAAATTTTTCAGCTTACAGATTAAGAATGTGAGACCTGGAATCAAAGTTAGTGTCGGAACTGAAGTAGTTATGGAGGGGGGAATGAAGTGGTGGAAAGAGGTTTTAGAGTTCAGATTTTGGCTCTTCCTCTCTCTGAACCTGATACTTATCTGTAAAATGGCACTTCTTCAATACCTACCTCTCAGTGTTATTGTTGAGATTAATCGAATGACCATATATAAAGACTCAGTCTTTCCCAGTCATTTACCATAAAAATAACATATCAACAAACACAAACAATACCAAAACAGCTCTCTAGTTCTCTTAGATATAAAAAGCCAGATCTTTAAAAAAAAAAAAAATTACAGCTTGAAATAACCAATTGACCTTTTGTTTGTTCTACTGCAAAATAAATACCAGAGAGAAATTTAAGTGACTGGTATTGATGTTTCCCTTTTGTTTCTTTGAGTCATTTTGGAAGGTATATAGACTATTTGATCTTCCATTTGATCCCGCACCCCCATGAAATCTTTAAGAGCATGCATTACTGTGTGGATTTAGTAGTGATAGTCAAGTTTTGACAGTTAACATCCAAAAACAATTGAACAATCACCATTATATTTTTTGTGTTATTTTTTACAGGGCTAATTTATTCAGTTTAAAAGACTGCTTTTTATTTGGAGGTTTTTTTTTTTTTATTGGTAATAATGGCCTTTCATGAAAACATGGTGCAGATAGATGGTAGGGTTAGTTAGTGTGTATGTATGTTTTTACTTTCCTTTTGTAGCAAAATAAAAAGTTTTACCAACTCCCATTGGTCCCAAAATTTATTTTGGAATTATTGGTCTTTGTAAACCTAAAATTCCAGAAATTCTGTTGTACTTTATTCAAGACTATAGTTTCCTATGGCTAGGGTCTTTGGAGAGTGGCTTGTTTTGTATCCTATAAATAGTTGCCATGTAGTATAAAAGAATTTGATAATTATTCAATGTGAAAATGGCATAGGTACCAGGCTAAAATGAAGAGAACAATTAACTAGGTTCACAAAATGTTAGGACTATAAACTGATTCAAGCAAAGGGTGTTAATTTAGGCTTCCCAAGGACAAATCTAGTTGTAGTTTCTTTGTAAAATCTAGATTATTTCACAAGGACCTTCTAATGGGGTGTTTTTGTTTCTTTCCTGGGGGAAAAAAAGCATTGTTTTTACTAAGAGCTCTCTTTCAAGTGGTTGACTGCTTTTCAAAGATTCTAGAATCTAGATGGTACTTCACTTAAGTCTGCAGGGTGTAGTGGAGGTGGCCCTGGCACAGATCCCATTCAGGCTCTTTGCATTTGAGTTGAGTGGTGTTGGTACAGTTGTCCTGATGCCAATGCATGCTGCTCTTGGCTTGAAAAGACATCCTAACCATGAAAGCTGGAGGCAGTCTGAATAGTCCTTCATAAATATAAACACAAAATACCCATTTTATCTTTTAAAAAAAAGCGCCTGTTCAACTGTTATTGCTAAGTAGATTTTTAAGGTGGCTAATTAACATGAGTGGATTGAGAGATTCAGTGTATCAGTATGATACGATACTTTAAATTTTTTCTGCTGTTTCATTTTTCTTGAACAGAAACACCGTGCTGGACAGCCAGCGTCAACAGAAGCATTATGGAATTACCTCTCCAATTAGTTTGGCATGTCCTAAAGAAATTGATCATATTTATACACAGAAATTAATTGATGCCATGAAACCATTTGGAGTGTTTGAAGACGAGGAAGAATTGAACCATAGGTATGTCACTGAAAACTAAAATATTTTACAGTATATTATTTAATCCTTAATTCTATAAAAATATATTGAGTACCTAGTTTGTCCTTGCTTAGGGGGTACAGAAATGACAAAAAGAAGAAAAATCTTGGCCCTCCTGGAGCTTGCCAGAGTTAGAGGAAGAGACTAACAATTAGGCAAATACATAAAGTAAATACAGTGTAATACATGATAAGTGCTGCTGAGAGAAGTAAAGCTGGGGGTAAAGATTTTCAGGAAAGGCCTCATTGAGAAAGTGACATTTAATTTTAAGGTGAGGGAGGGAGCCATGTGGATATTTCAGGGAAGAGATTCTAGGCAGAAGGTCTGAAGTGGGAATGTATCTGGTATATTAAGGAGTACATGGCAAGATATTCTGGGTATCTGAAGCAGAGTGAGGAAACAGGGAAATATGGGCTTAAAGAAAGTAAGGTGGGAAGGAGCTTGGAGGGCAAGGGCCCTTAGGACCTTGTAAGGAATTGTAGAAGTTTTTGTTTACTCTCAGTGAAATGGGAAGCTATTACAGTTTTAAGTCAACGATTGACATGATCTGACTCATTTTTTAATGCAGTCACTTTCACTGCTGTATTGAGAATAGTCTGGAAAGGGGTACAAGGGCAGAAGCAGAGAGACTAGTTAGAAGGCCATTATAATAACCCCAGGAGGAAATGATGGTAGCTGGAACCCAGAGGTTGGTAGGGGAGGTGACAAGAAGTAGTAAAATTCTGGATATATTTGAGGTAGGGTTGTTAGAGTTTAATGACTGGAATTGTGTGTGTGTGTGAGAGAGAGAGAGAGGTGTGTCAAAGATGATGCCAAGGTTTTTTGTGTCAGTACCTTGAAGGATGGAGTTCCATTTCCATTATTTGGAGAATACCAAGAAAGAAACAAGGTTATACACATCAGATGTCCAGTTTTTCATGTTATTTTTGAGATGCCTAAACCCTAATTTTATTTTTTATTTATTTATTATTATTTTTATTTTAAAGATGACCGGTAAGGGGATCTCAACCCTTGGCTTGGTGTTGTCAGCACCACGCTCAGCCAGTGAGCTAACCGGCCATCCCTATATAGGATCCGAACCCGTGGCCTTGGTGTTATCAGCACTGCACTCTACTGAGTGAGCCACGGGCTGGCCTTTATTTTATTTTTTGCCATATTTATTATTATTTTTATTTTAAAGATGACCGGTAAGGGGATCTCAACCCTTGGCTTGGTGTTGTCAGCACCACGCTCAGCCAGTGAGCTAACCGGCCATCCCTATATAGGATCCGAACCCGTGGCCTTGGTGTTATCAGCACTGCACTCTACTGAGTGAGCCACGGGCTGGCCTTTATTTTATTTTTTAAATGTGGATTTATTTATTCCATTGGTTGCAGGTTTGTTTTAATACAGGTTAAGTATTCCTTATCTGAAACACTTGGGACCAGAAGTGTTTCAGATTTTGGAATATTTGCATTATACATATTGGTTCAGCATCCCTAATTCAAGACTCCAAAATCCCATGCATTTCCTTTGAGCATCATGTCAGGACTCAAAAAGTTTTGGATTTTGGATTTTTGGTTTAGGGATACTCAACCTGTAATACCAAACTTTTATTAAGTAATATCGTTTCACAAAAATTGGCCATTAACTAATTCACCCATTTTAATTATTCTAATGCCTATGACTGGCAATGAGAATGCATTGAATTGACTTAATTCCATAGTAAGGCCAGGAAAGATGACAGTTCATTTGGCCTGTGCAGCCTCATTGAAGGTAATTTTATGATTTTTATTAGGCTTTTTGAATTTTGAAAATAGCTCAAAGACCAAAATGTTGTCATCACATTTTTTATCTCTTTGGCACTCTTTGGTCACTAAGAATGCCAAAGAGATGTGACATGTATCAACAGATGTGATAGCATTAGCATGTGTTTAATATGCTTTAACCTAACACCAACACAAACTTGCTGCCTGTATGTTTATTACTCTAATACTGTTTGGTTTTTGTTTTTTTAGTTTTAATCTAAAGCATGTTATTTTTATTATAGGCTGGTTGTTCTTGGTAAATTGAACAATTTAGTAAAAGAATGGATTTCTGATGTCAGTGAGAGTAAGGTAAGTCTCTAAACTACATAGAATTCTTAGTTTCATTATATCCTGGTGATTTGTCCTAGCAATAAGGTGCAGGAGTTAAAACTTGGCTCCTGATATACTTGGAAATGAATTGGCCTAGACAGTTGAAATTCTGAACAGATGAGGATTTACCCCAGCGGTAGCCAATATATAACTGCAGGTCTACACAAATGTCTTGTTTGACCCATATGTAATGGGCCAAAATTTAAATATCAGGAGATTTTACTTTAAGAGCCAGATTTCAGACTTCTTATGAAATATCAGATCTGGCAACACTGGGCTTGCCTTTGTGCACAGCAGGAAGAGGCTTGAATGGGATTGGGCTCCTGCCCTCCTATGCGTCATGGCCCCCTCCAATCCCTGTTCCCTCTGATCCTGAGATTGCTATTTACCAGTTTCTGTGTTTCTCATGTAGGATTCCCTTATTTGCATTCCTGCTTGGCCCCTGAGATGTAGGAGTTTGCAAACCCTGATTTATAACTATGCAACTTTTTTCCTTTCCTGTATCTTAACTATTTTTCCTCTGAAATTGATTACATCTTTCCTGCTTTTTTAGATTATTTTGAATATAATTGAATTTTCATTATTGTCTCAGAATCATGACTATGAATATTATTTTACTGGCTGTACCAGAATGAGGTAGGGCACGTTCAACTGGGTGATGCTGTTTGCCCCCTCACTAGGGGTCTCAAACTGTTGTCTTTTAAGTTTTTTGTTTATTTTGTTACAGTTTTCCTCTCTCTCCCTTAACAGCAGTCAGTTGAAAGTTAATGTCTCACTGTTGTCTTTCTGTAAAGTCCCATTCTTGCCCGTTAATCTATCTACATGGGTTCAGAAATTAGGTAAACACCTTTTTGAATTACTTTACAACTTTTATTATTTCTCTCTGTACCTACGATAAATATGTAGAATTGGCTCTTTTAAACAGTGGACTCAGAATGAGGTTATGAGTTTCCTAAGACTACAGTCATTGAGTTTAACATGGTCTTTATGTTACTTACTCTTTCTGTCAAAAGGCTGTCTGGCTTATTTCTGAGCTATCAGCAAGGTTATCAGTAGTGTAGGTTGTTGGATAAATTGAATTCTCAGCAGGTGAAATGCTAGTAACCAGTGATCAAAAAATTAAGTCCGTTTGTAAGATCTTCCATTGAGTAGATAAGATGATGGGTCATTTTCTTTGTCAATTATAATTCTGTTTTATTTATGCATGTTTTAATTTGGAAAATAACTGAAGGACTTGAGTTAGATCAAAGATCATTTGAATATTCTGCACCCAATTGGGATAGTTAAAATTTAAATAGTTTAGAACCCCAGCTCAAATCATCTTAGTTAAATATTGTGGCTGTGGTAAAAATATTTTACTCTGTGTTTGAGTATATCACTTTCTCATAAATCATGCAAAGATAATACTTTTCAAAGTAGAAAGGTGGACTAAAAGATATTTTCAGATCCTGGCTTTTCTATTGATTCATGTTAGTAATCAATATATTTTCTGAATCCCTTTTAGATATAAAATTGTGTTACTCTCGAAACATTAACATCCATTAAACAGAGGAAGTAACAAACATAATATCCTGTTATTCAGATACTTTCATTCAAGTTATTCAGCAGATATTATTCTTTGGAACTTGTATTGGCCATTATGGGGAAGTATAGAGAACTAATAGACACAGTTCTTTATTTTAAGAAATTTGAATATGGTTTAAGAGAATGAGATATAACCAAAAAAAGTCAATAAATGTAGTATGAAAGAATTTAAAGATTAATGGTAGAGGAGCACAGAGGAGAAAGAGCTTGTTATGGGGTGGTGATAATCAGGGAAGGCTTCATGCAAGCGGTGGAACTTGAAGTGAACTTTGAAAAATGGAAGGCACTAAGATAGCCAGAGAGGTTGGGTAGGTGTTCAAGGTAGGGACAATAGCAAATGCAGTGAAAAGGAGATCAGATTATGTAACATTTTGGCAGTTGGAGCTTCAGAAAGGAAGATCAAGAGGCAATGCAAGAAAGATCCATTGGAGCATACTGTGGAGATTTTCAGTACCAAACCCAAGGATCCTTACCTCAGTAGTCAGAGAGGAATGCATTGGCAAGTTTTGATCAGAAGAGCTATATAATAGAGTAATTGAAGGACATTAGCCAATGAATTTTGTACCACACAGTATAAGAAAAGGAAGACTAAGGGCAAGGAGGTAGCTTAGGATAAATTAAAGAGCCCAGAATTAGGGGAGTAGTAGTTGAATGGAAAGGAGACAACAAATGTGAGGGATATTAACTAAGAATTGGTAAGTCAAGAAGAATAATGATTATAAGTTTGGGCAATAAGGATAATGAAGAACAGAAATCAGAAGAGATACCTGGTTTTTATCATAGGAAAAAATTTTTGCATGTTTGAGGCATAGATAATGAAATGGATCAGGATGTCTGAGTGAAAATATCTGATGGGAAGTTGAGACTGGCTCTAGAGAAAGGTGAAAAGTAGCATTTTAATTATGGTACAATCAAAGATAGTTGTTAGAGTAGCTCTCATAAGGAGATCATGTCAAGACTGACCTCACTTTCTTGCAGAAAGATTGCAGAGCTAGAATCAAGAAATTAAACAAACCTGTCACAAAAACTAAAGGGGAGATGGGATTGGCCAAGAGTATTATGCTGTAGAGAGCTGAAAGCACATTAGTTTGGTAGTTTAGAGTTCCTTGGTGACTATTGAGAGTGATGAAGCCAAAGACAAGCAGTTGGAGGGGACAAGTAGGGTCACGTGATAATGTTTTTCTTAAGATAGAGATGTGTACATGTGTGGTGGGCAAAATTTGTTTTGTTTTCCTTCTGGGAACACCCTTATTACTTCAAGTTGCAACTGAAAGAGCCCTGAAGTTCTTTTACAAATCTCATCTTACCAAGGCTGACAAATGTACTGTGTATCATTTGCCCAAAAAAAGCCAGTAAGCATTTAGCTGATTTTTATGCTAAATAATCTGAACAATTGAATGCCTTTTGCTTAATTTTGTTTTAGAATCTCCCACCTTCTGTTGTGGCTACCGTTGGTGGTAAAATTTTCACATTTGGATCCTACAGGCTTGGAGTACACACCAAAGGTAACTTCTTTTTTATGTTCTAGTGATAAAAATTTTCAATAACAAATTCTTATTTATTGTTCATAATTAGAAAATACAGAGGAACAAAATTCCCATTATCTCACTAACTCAGAGCTAATCATTATTAACATTTTCTTGTACTCATCTTGCATGCTTTCTTCTGTACATATGTTGGTGTATACTTTAACAAAAATATAATACATAATATACTCTTCTTGAAAAGAAATACTTTGATTTTCAGGAGCTGACATTGATGCACTTTGTGTAGCTCCAAGACACGTGGAAAGGTCTGATTTTTTTCAGTCTTTTTTTGAGAAATTGAAACATCAAGATGGCATTAGAAACTTAAGAGTAAGTATCCTCTGGCATTTAATATTTTGAACTTAGTAACAAACACTCATAAAAGCTAGGGCTTCTGATTATTGAAATACCTCTTAAGAAGCTGCTGTATCTTATTAAAATAATGCATAATGATTAAGAACGTGGACTTTAGAGTTATATGGACCTGGGTTTGCATCTAGAATCTACCGCATATTAGCTCTTAGACCTTGGTCAAGCTGCCTATTTTCTCTGAGGCTTAGTTTCCTCATCTGTAAAATAGAGATGTGTTGATAACTTTTTTATAAGGTTGTTCTAAGGATTGGTGAGATAATTTACATAAACCATTTACTGTAATATCTGATAAATGGTTGATGCATATCAAATGGTGGGTGCTGTTGTGTATAAAGTTCAGTTAGTAACTATATGTGTATATCTAGCCATTCATTCACCAAATAAAATTTTAGCACTAATAATTTGTTGGATACTGTTTGTAGTCCTACAAACAAAATAGTGAACAAGACATTGTTGGGGAAGGGGTTAGGTAAATTGAATAAACAAAGTGTAGTTTTAATGCAGTCTGAAGTGCTAGGATAAGGTAAAAAGATCAGGGATAATGGAAGGCTCAGAAAAACATCATTTCTATGAAATTAACCCAAACTTTATTGACCGTATTAATGGTTTTTTGACTGATTGGACATGAGCTCTTATTTTAATTTCTAAAACCACTGCTTTTTCTAAATAATTAGTTTTCAATTTAGACTCAAGAAATAGTAAGTACCCAGGTGATAGCAGTACTGCCTTCCACTTTCTGACAAATATTTTTAGGAGGATAATAAGTTGCATAACTCCTGTCATAGACATTTTGTGTATTTAAATAACACAGGTCACAAAGTAGAAGTACTTATCTAGAATGTAAGACCAAGAACATTTTCACTTTTCTATTGAGTTAAAACATAAATTGGGAGCAAAGATACTCACATTATTGGCAGTTAGGAAGGGTAGAGAAAGAATTATACATATATGTTATAATTGCTTTCCTCTTTTGTAGGCTGTTGAAGATGCTTTTGTACCTGTTATAAAATTTGAATTTGATGGTATCGAAGTAAGTGTTTAATATTTTCCTGTCTTTTCAGTTGAGCTATTTAACCCGTAAGTTTGTCTTGTTTTGTTTTTAAATCAGGTTCAGCAGGTGCTTTTTTTTTTTTTAAAAGATGACCGATAAGGGGATCTTAACTCTTGGGTTGGTGTTGTCAGCACCACGCTCAGCCATTGAGCAAACCGGCCATCCTTATGTAGGATCCGAACCCGTGGCCTTGTTATCAGCACTGCACTCTCCCGAGTGAGCCACAGGCCAGCCCTAGCAGGTGCATATTGTAAAGAATCAAATAGTCTTTAAACAGTCCCTCACATTCTGCTGTTCTGACTTCTCACAGTTGAAAATGAACCAACTTCCATTTCTACTCCATGATTTTTATATACACCCTTTTCATTCCCATAATCTCCTAAAATAATTTATTATTATCATTTTGGTTGGAGCAATATTCAATGTTTACATTATTATGATCTTATAAACTGGTCAAAGCAGAGCACCAAGTATACTAGATACCCATTCTTTACTGTGTGATATTTTGTTTTCTTGCAATTTAATAATCGTTTGGGGGTTTTTTTGCTTAGTTTTTATACTTATGACTAATTCAAACCCAGTATCTTCTAGTTGTCTAAATTTCTTCAAAATAAGTTTAGATTTATCAGGTATTATATCATAATCATCCTAAAAAAAAAACAAAAAATAACTCACTGGGTTTTTTCACCTTTTAAAATCTACACTGATTGTTCTTCATGACTGGTATACAGCTGTCGTCCTGCCATCTTCCTTTACTATCATCCTAGGATTTCCTTTTGCTTCTCTCTAGCTTTTTTTTATCTTTGATTTATTCTCGTTACAGTGGAGCTCATCCCCCTAGCTTCCTGAGAAAGAGTACATTATTTTGGTATCTCACTTGTTTAAAAATGTCTTCATTCCGTTCTTATACTAAGTTGATAATTTGTCAGATTAATAGCATTCTCAGTAGGAAATTATTTTTCTCAGAAATTTGAAGGCCTTGCTTCATTGTCTACTGGCTTTCCTGCTATGCTGAGAAGTGCGATGCCATTTTGATTCCACATGCTTTGTGTATGACTGGTTTTATCTCTTTGGAAGCTTATTTTTTTTGTTTGTTTGTTTGTTTTTTGTCTTCATAGTTGCAAAATTTATGATAATATATTTTGGTATGTGTCTTTTCAACCAATGTGCCAGGCACTAGGTTGTCCTCTTTCAATTTGGAAAACCTGTCCTTCAGTTCTGGGAAATTTTGTTGAATGCTATTGGATATCTTGCCTTTGTTTTCTCGTTTCTTTCTGGAATCCTAATATTTGTATGTCAGACCTTCAGGACTGTCTTCTTTTGGTTTTTTAATCTCTTCCCTCCGTTTATTAACTACATCTTCATATTTTTGTTCTGTTTTTTGGGGTTTTCACATCTTCTAAACTTCCTATTGTTTCTCGTTTCTGCTGTCGTATTTCTAATTTCTAAGAATACTTTTTTATTCTCTAAATGTTCCTTTTTATTTATGTATTTATTTTCTTATAGCCTCCTGTCCTTATTTCCTGGATTCATTTTTTATCTGCTTTTTTAGGTCTTCTGGGTTTGTTACCACTTGTCCATCTTTCCAGCTTTCATAGCTTTTGCTGTTGTCCCTTTCAGTTCTCTTTGTCCTAATAGGTTATGCCTTTAAAAGCAAAATAAAGCTAAACAAAAAAAAAGACCAATATTTTTCTGGTAATATAGTGGGATTTCAACTGGGAGTGAATGTAAGCATGTGTTGGATCTTCCATCTTTATCTAGAAATTCACTCATGAGGTTTTAGTATGTTTTTTTTTTTTAATGCTTGGAGTATTTGCAAAAATTAAAATGCTTTCCTTAATTTGATGTTTTAATTACCTTATCAAAACATAGTAGTGATTTTTCCCTATGAGATTGCCTGTGTAGGCCTTTCGAAGTTTTGATAGAACTTCCCAAACTGATTAGAACATTTTACATTTTTGAGGTGGGATGGGGGGATGAACTAGAAGGAGAAAAGGTAATATTTTTCTCTCTTTTTTTTTTTTTTGCATATTTCCAAAGATTGATCTAGTCTTTGCAAGACTGGCAATACAAACCATATCAGATAATTTAGATCTAAGAGATGACTCTCGCCTAAGAAGCCTTGATATAAGGTGTATTCGCAGCTTGAATGGTAAGTTCCTAAAAAGAAATATATACCTGCTTGGAAACAATTAGACAAGTAGAAACTTTTTTGCAGAACTATTAGTAGACTTTTTTAGGGCTTGGACTAACTCAATTAAAAATTCTGTTGTAGTTTTCTTTATACAGATAACATGACCACATTTAAGCATCCTAAAAACACAGATTTATTTGAAAGGTTGTTTAAGTTTATAGTAGTGGTTCTCAAACTTACTGGCCTCAGGACCTCTTTACATGTACACTTAAGATTTATCAAGGACCCCAAAAAGTTTTTGTTTATGTGGATTATATCTGTCAGTATTTACCATGTTAGTAATAAATAGGAGAAATTTCAAAAATATTTATTAGTTAATTTAGAAATAACAAACCCATTACAAGTTAATATAAATAAATTTTCGTGTATGAAGAATGGCCTTTTTTTTTTTTTTTTTACATTTTTGCAAATCTCTTTAATGTCTGGCAGTAGAAGACAGCTAGATTCTCACATCTGCTTCTCCAATCTGTTGTAATATTTTGTTTTGGTTAACATACAAGAAGAAATTCTGGCCACCGGGCCGGCCCGGTGGCGCACTGCTACAGTGCGCTGCTTGGGAGCGCGGCGGCGCTCCCGCCGAGGGTTCGGATCCCACATACAGACCAGTTCCCGCTCTCTGGCTGAGCGAGGTGCGGGCGCAAAAAAAGGAAAAAAAAAAAAAAAAAAGATTGCTTATACCCATTTACACTCATTCACCCTTCCAACCCCAGCTAACCACTAATCTACTTTCTATCTTTATAGATTTGCCTTTTCTAGACATTTCATATAAACGGAATTGTAATATGTGGTCTCTTGTGTCTGGCTTCTTTTACTTAGTGTAATGTTTGTAAGGTTCATCCATGTTTGTAGTTTGTTCCTTTTCTTATTGCTGAATAAAAGTGATAGTTTGTTAAAGATTAATTAGAATACGGAATCTAAAACCCTATTAGTGAGCTTTTTTTGTACTCTTGTTACATTAAAATTCATTGGTCTGTCTTCTTCTTTGAATGGATCTTTTACCCATGCATGATTTTGTGCTTTCGTGCCTTGGTCATTTGGAAAATATTGGTTCACAAAGTTATTTGGATCTTCCAAATGTTAACATACATTTGGGGCTGGCCAGTTAGCTCAGTTGGTTAGAGCACAGCCTTATAACTCCAAGATCTCGGGTTCAATTCCCCGTACTGGCCAGCCACCCCCAAAAAAAACGAATAAATGTTAACACATTTTATCATAAAATATTTTTTTTTATTAAATTCATTAATACCACCATCAATTTTATTAGAAAACTTTTTAAGTATTGGAAAGCTGTCAAGCTCACAGTAGCAGATACATGTTGTCCAAATTATAATTTAACTTGAAAGCCTAAATTATATTTTTAGCAACAAATTTTGCTATTTGCTTTCCTTGAAGTGAGGGGCTCAGTTTGTTCAGTTTTTAGGAAATATCTGAAGAATACCCAAATGCGAATTACCATAGTTTAACTGTCCATCATTCTTTCAAGTAAAACTGGTGTTCTTTGAAAAAACTTGCAACTAAATAGCCTCACACAATGGTTTTCCTCCAACCATTAGACTTTGGTATACAGCAGAAGTGCTTTATGTATACTTCCTATTTTGTCACACAGAGTATTAAAAAATATTTTTTAAATGTACTCAAAGGTCAAGATTGATTAAAATTAATGATTTTTACTACTTTATCAAGGATATTCTTACGTGAACCTGGCTTTTTTTTTTTTTTTTTTTAACTGCAAGTGTGTGGTGGTGAAGATGTATTGTCTGCTAGTAGTTTGTTGCCACTGCCCTGATTCACTACTAAGGTACCAGCAGTTTTATACACTATTGCTTTTGCACCATCAGTGTAAATGTTAACAGTGCAAAAGGCAAAGAAAGCCTTAGTATTAGAAAAATAGGTTTGGCCTTACAGAGTCCCAGGGGTACACAGACCACACTTTGAGAACCACTGGATTATAGTGTCTTTTGTTTAATGTAATCATTGCACTTTGCTATATTTATGGAATGTAACAATAAATCACAGTATTTGTGTGGATAAGGTTTGCATTAAAGCAATAGCAATTTTATAACCCTTGAGGCATTTGATTGACGAAATCAAATGTGTAAGAAAACTAAAAATATACTCAGTCCCATCTCTACTTTAATATTGGCTTGCAATACCCATGTATTTTTTTAAGTCTTCAAAAGCAAAGTGATTTCTCATATGTAAGTGCTGAATTTCAAATATGTACAGAAAATAAACCCTGATGTTTTATTATCTTTCATATTTTTAGGTTTTGAGAGTCTGGAAGTTAGGAGGGCATTTAAATTAACTGAGTTTTGTTGCATAGTAAAAAATGTACACTTTGTCTTTTTCAGGATGTAGAGTTACTGATGAAATTTTACATTTAGTGCCAAATAAAGAAACTTTTAGACTCACCCTAAGAGCTGTCAAATTATGGGCAAAACGTAAGTACCTCAAGTCTTCTATGTTTGCATTATGTAATCCTAATTTTCTGTGGCCAGTGATAGAAGCACATGTGAAAACTTTGAGCCTGTTGAGGGCCAATAAACTTTAAAATAGTGGTTTTTCAGGTGCAGTGGTTATGATATTCTGATATGTGACTCGACCTCCTTCTCCCTTGGGTGAAAACTTAAAAAGCTCCTTGATTTTCCATCTTAAGTTTCAGCCTGGCAGTCAGAATAATTCAGAACTTGAAGACTGAAATCTTCGCTGGTCTTTGAGCTCCCTGTGGGCCGGACCATCTTACGCATCTTTGTATCCCCATCACCAGCGAAGAATCTGGTGTATAGTAGGTGTTCAGTACGTTTATTAAGTGAGGAGCCTACAGTGATCAGGGTTTTAACTTGGCTTGGATAGTGCAGGGCTAAAATGGCCTTAAGCAAGTAGAATTTGTCCCTGGGCTCAAATATCATATAGTCATGATAAAGTAATTTGCAGTGAAGGATAACACGAATAATTTCTTTCCTTTCAGATTAAATACCATGTTTTGTTAATTCTTAAATGCATATTTTCCATATTTAACATAAGGTAAAGATCTTATAACACTTTTCTAATAAAGCCTGGAACTGCACTTAGTTTATGTACATAGAATATGGTTTGTAAAAGGCCTTTGCCTAATCCTGAGCTGGCAGAGCACATTCTGTTTATTTGTTACTATATTTAAGTAGTGCTGCACTTCTGGCACCAGGTTTTACATAGTCTAAAACAACACTCTCCAATAAAACTTTCTGTGATTATGGAAATGCTTTATATCTGTGCTGTCAAATACCGTAACTGTGCGGCTGTTGAGCACTTTAAATGTGTACCTGAGGAACTGAATTTTAAAATTTTTATTTCATTTCAATAAATTTAGAGTGAAATAGTGCCTGAAAGAAGTGAAAACATATATTCACACAAAAACTTGCACACAGATGTTCATAGCACCATTATTCATAATAGCCAAAAAGCAGAAACAACCACATGTCTATAAACTGATGAATGGGTAAACAAAAGGTGGTATATCCATACTATGGAATATTATTTGGCAGTAAGAAGGAATGCAGTACTGGTACATGTTACAACATATGTGAACCTTGAAAACATTAAGTGAAAGAAGCCAGTCATAAAAGACCACATATTGTATGATTCCATTTATATGAAATGTCTGTAATAGGCAAATCTGTAGAGACAGAAGGTAAATTGGTTGTCTAGGTCTGGGAGGATTGGGAGAACAGAGAAGGAGTGTGACTATTAAAGGTTTCTTTTTGTGGTGATGAAAATGTTCTAGAATTTGTTATGGTGATGGTTGCACAACTCTGAATATACTAAAAACCATTGAACTGTGTACTTTCAATGGTTGAATCTTTTTTTTTTTTTAAAGATGACCAGTAAGGGGATCTTAACCCTTGGTTTGGTGTTGTCAGCACCATGCTCACCCACTGAGCTAACCAGCCATCCCTATGCAGGATCCAAACCCGTGGCCTTGGTGTTATCAGCACCACACTGTCCCGAGTGAGCCACGGGACAGCCCCAATGGTTGAATCTTTTTTTTTTTTTAAAGATGACCAGTAAGGGGATCTTAACCCTTGGTTTGGTGTTGTCAGCACCATGCTCACCCACTGAGCTAACCAGCCATCCCTATACATTGAGACAATGGTGGGACATCCAGATGGTGCTTTCTTCCAGGGATCTGTAAATGTGGGCCTTTAGCTTGCATAAGTGGTTACAATAGATTTGGCTGTGTGAATTACTAGCTATGTCGAGGTTGTTTAAGCTCTCCTTATCTGTAACATGAAGATGATAATCACAATAACTGCATTGATTACAGTAAATATTAGCTGCTACTATTATTAAATTATCAGAATTAAATCTATGAAAGCAAGTGAGAAGGAAAGGAGAGATTTAGATGTAAATTAGTTACAGCTAATGGGCAAAGTAATATTTGCCCTTTCAGAGAACCGAAATATAAGCAGCCTTTTCTTTGTATACTTTCTTCACTCACCCATTTTTTTTTAATCCTAAATACTCAGAACATTTATTGTATGAAGGTTGGAACAAATCTAATGATTCTAACATTTCACAGAGTACCTGAAGTAAGATCCTATGTGAGTTAATTTGCCTTATTCATGTTAGGGAATGGCCAAATCCAGTGCTGCTGAAGCAACCAGAAGAAAGCAATTTGAATTTGCCTGTCTGGGATCCTCGGGTATGTGATTTATTATCGCATTTCATTAAACCTTTTAGGAAAAGGATGTTTCTCTGAATTACATTCTAAGATAATCTTATTCCTGCTCATCTTCCTTCTGTGCAACTATAGTCCTTTCCCTCCCTATGCTGTGTTTTTTTGGTGCAGATGATTTGGATGTCTCATGCCCTATCCAAATGTTATGTCATTAAAAATTGCCCATCTAAGGGCCGGCCCGGTGGCGCACTGGATAGTGCGCCGCTTAGGAAGCGCGGCGGCGCCCCCGCCCCCGGGATCCGCTCCCACATACAGAACGGCTCC